CAAAATCTGGGCATTAGGCTTACTTGAGTGGTCACTTCCAGGGGCTTGTAGCTTGTAGACCCATATGACACAAACATTCAGGTGTGGTGTCAAGACTCTTTGCCTCCCACTTGCAATGTTATCTTTTTTTCTTCTTTAAGGTCTATATTTCTGATCAAGATGATAATGGTACATTTCACACACGTTTACCACTGGAAATAATGAAAGAGCCCCTTAAATGCCCACTGAGTCTAATCACCCACCATGAGCTTTGTGCATTCAAGACGAATAGTTTTTGTCATCTTGGTATTCAGCTGAATTATTCATAACATACTTCTGTCACCCAAGAACCCAATATGATATAGAAAAAGATGTAATGAAATGAATAAATAAATATTGTTTTTGACATTGCAGGAGGAAGAAAAAGGATATCGAAGGTTAACTCCACTGCAGAGTGTAGGCCTTCGTCATTGTGGATATGTTATTAAAGTCCAGGAAGTTGTAAAAGATTCTTCTGGGAAAGTGGATCATCTCAGAGTATCCTGTGAACCTGCTACAGAGAGCAATAAACCCAAAGCTTTCATCCACTGGGTAGCACAACCTATCAAATGTGAAATCAGGAATTATGAGAGATTGTAAGTGTGTTTTCTTCTCCTCTTGATTGTATCTAAAGCTGATGTGACATTTTTGTCATACTGATACTAAACACAACTTGCATGATTTTTTGTTCATTAATTACATTTATTCTTGCCCTATTTCTCAGATTCAAGCACGAGTGTCCAGAAGACCCGGCAGTTGTTCCTGGAGGTTTCGTTACAGATATCAATCCCAATTCATTGTCCATATCCCTTGGCATGGCAGACATTTCTGTGAAGAATGCTAAAGTATACACTAAATTCCAGTTTGAGCGTACTGGCTTCTACTCGGTAGATCCTGACTCAAGCCCAGACTTCTTGGTTTTCAATAAGACTGTTGGGTTGAAAGAAGATAAGGGGAAAAATTAAGAATTAGGGTAAAATGATAAATTGTGTAAGGCCTGGCTGAGACATTTTTTATACAAAAGATATTAGTTTTATGAGGTTCAGG